TATATTATTGAATTGATTATGATTATTATTATTATCAGTAGAAGTAGTTTATTTGCATTAATTATATTTTAATCTTTTTGAGGCTAGTATTTGGCAGGAAATGCAGATGTATCCACCTGTAAACGCATACTGAACGACATACATGCACATTTACCATTTACCTGACTGTATAAAAAAGTAACTGTTGATAATAATAATAATAAACAGGAATTATATTTGCAAAATACTTTGTTTCCCAAAAAAAAATTGTCACTCCTGTCGGTGGGGGGGGGGCTCACCTCACAATGTCGCTTGGGGCCCCAAGTTGGCCAGGGACGGCCCTGTGTAGATTAAATCAGTTCTCTCAAGCAGAGAGAAACTTTTCTGTGAGAATGCAGCTCTCTTTCATTTCCTCCAGTATGACTCTTTATTTAAGTTTTTCGTTAACTGATTTAAAACATGTGAATGCTTATGAGAAGATGCCTTTTTTTCTATTTGATTTGCTCTCTGTCGTGTATAATCTTCGTTAAATGGAGTAATAATTGTGTTGCGTAATTGCGGAACTTTGTTTTCCAGCTTCTGAGGTTCCTGTTTTACCAGACGTGACACATAACACACGCCACACTGATATGAAATGTATTAGGAGTCCTGCAGCACCAGCCAGTCTCTGCTCTTGATAAGTCTCTAGCCCCGGGGTCTAGACAGGCCGACTCCTGATGTCTTACACAAAGGAGAAGGAGGCCTGGGGACAAAGGGTGCAGCGTTAGATCAGTCTCTGATAAGCTCCACATACACACCTGTTGCCTCCCCACCTTACTAACCTAGGCCTGTGGCAGGTCATTATTACTGCAGTGCTGACATGTACCTGTGTTATATTAAAAATGACCACAGTTATGACCGTTACCTCCGTTACTACTACAGAGGCTTATCACAGCTAATGGGCCTCCACAAAGATATTATCAATCCCAGCCCTGACAGCCCTAATCAAAGGCTGATTTATTGTCTCTTACATTTGTATAATTAGTGTTATTAGCTCCAGGGAGGATGGGTACCTCCCTTCTCCCTGTAACACCCTGTATCTTACACTCATTTCAGAAAATAAATAGTTTTTTTCGATTTTAGCATCCATGTTATGCTTTATACTTAGTTTCGGACGATTTATTTCTCCAAGATATATTCTAGTGCTTCATTTGAAGGCCTACATTTAATGTTGAAGATGTCCGCCTCGATATACAGAACTTAACATTTTATGTATTTGCATGCTTGTTTCTAGCCTTCCTTGACAGTAGGAGTGTTTCTGAACTGCACAGTTCTTGGCAACAGCAGCGTAACTTGTCTGTTTACAGAAAACTTGATGGCCCGGTTCAATTGAAAGCTCATTGGACCTTCACTTCAGAGAGTCTGTGTGTGTTCATCCTCCAGCCTCCACTCTAATGTCCCATGAAAGAAATGAAGCCATGTAGAAATCCTAACAGATTATTTCCCTGTCTTTCTATTTTAGCAATATGTCACAAGGTGTGATATATTAGCCAGATCACAGTTAGCGGCAACAACAGAGTATTATGTAATAGCAACAAAAGCAATACAAAGTTGGCTCGTGTTCCTGTCAGAGCTTGTGTGTGTGACATCTTATTTTAGGGACCTGTTGAATCATTTACCTGCTGTCTGTCCTTGATCTGTGATAGGGTTTATTCACACACCACTGCACTCAAACGCTCTTTCCAGCCCTTTGCCCTCCTTTCTATTCGAGGCCATTTCTCTGTAGTTGTTATGTCATAGTTTCACCACAGGTCAGTGGTGTCAGTCGTTCAATAGTTCTCTCTGTGGCTGCTGTGGTTTGTCACGGAAGGCTGCAGTAAAAGGGACATTGCTCAAAGATGTACCATGTTAAGACAAAGAGTTTAAGACACAACCTAATATAATTTATATCTAGCCTGATGTCCTTGCAAAGGGATGAGCAGAGACAAAGTGATTGAGTAGCACCTAATACACCCATGTGTCTATTTTCCCACTTCTACACTGACCTCCTATACTGTTTTATTTCTGTTTTTCAATCTGATGTTTAGGGGCTGCTTGGTTTTAGCAACAGTCCTTGTTAATATACAAAACTTTACAACTAAATGTACAGGATACCATTTTCTAAACTAGACACAGGTACATTTGATCTTTAGAAGTTAAAGTTGTTTACATCTGTATGACAACATTAACTGTGTGTCCTATGTTGCACAGTTTATTAGTAAATGTTTGCATAGAACTGTAAACAGGGTTTTTAAATGCAGACAGTGTTGTACATGACAGGGCAGGCTGTTCAGTCAGGACCGATGCAGACTTCCTGTTGGTGGGTTAAATAACTTCCTCTCTCCACTAGTTTGTTTTAGATGGTACTTAATGTGGCGTGCCCTCCAAGCGAACACACACACGGAGTGGAAGTGGGAAGGGAGTAGGGATCGGTTTGGAAACGGCCCTCCGTGTGCCCTTGGTGCACACAGCCACAAAAAATGCATCGCCACCTTTTTTGTGCGAGCCACACTTGACTGTGCCCCACGCTTGATTTAACAAAATTGAACCCACAAGCCTGTTTGTACTGCATGTTTGCTTATGATTATGTGACTAGCGTCCTGCAGTTTATTTAGCATTTCTCGCTTGGTAGTTCCCCCCTTGTTTTGCTTTCGGGAGGATCGACGGTGTGTCACACTGTGCCTTTGGCCAAATGAGTCTAACTGGCTGCCAAAAACACACAACCCCGCCGCATAATCTTTGTTCCCATAAGCTACCTGAACAGCTTCTCCGCTCAGGCACAATTCCAGGCAGCGCAGGCACGAGTTTCCTTCCTGTGCCATCCCTCCCACTCACTGCATGCAGCGCTGGGAGCATGGATGGGAAACTGACTCATTCTTTGTTTTTTAAAACGACCCTGACTCTCCCCCCTTACTCAACAGGGGGATGCAGACCTGGTTAGTAAGAGGTGGAAAGTCCAGGAATGGTTATTTGGGGTTTTCCCTAGTGGGCAATAAAGGACATGAGAAAAACAAACAGACTGTACAAAGAGGAAGGGGAAAATACATTAGTTACGTTGACATCCCATCATTCAAACATACAAGGTGTCATCCAAAAGAGTATCACTTATTGTCACTCTTTATTTAGTGTGACCTCAACACCAATCAAGTCAAACAAAGTTAAGTGTGCGCCTTGCATAAATGTGGAACACCATGATTATTCAACAGGAAGATGCAGAACTGGTTAGTAATTGATGGAAACCCCCAGGAATGGTTGTTTAGGTTTTTTCCCTGATGGGCTTTCTAATGTGTGGTAAAAGACATAGGAATGATACAATACAAAGAGGATGGGAGAGAGTCATCTGAGGTCAGACTATGTTGAAATCCCCACTCTAACATGGTGTCAAGGGTGTCATCTATTCTAAAGGGTATGTCATTATTTATTTGGAGTAACCTAAACCCCAGTGAAGTCAAATAAGTATAAGGTGTGTGCACCTGTATTTGAGTCAGGAAAACATGTGATGTCACTGCTCAATGTGCCTGTTTACCTGGTTACTATAGAGACTGTGTATCTACGCAAACCAGCCGGTGCCAGCAGTATATTTTGGATATATAAAGTGCTCAACTTGTCTGTCCTAGGAATCATATGCTTGCTTGGCTTTGGTAAATTAACTCAAAATGACTGTTGAGGTAGCACACATAATTGCTGTGTGTTATGTGGGTAAGAAGACTCTGTTTAGATGCTGCCAGACTGGTCTTTATCATAGTTGTCACACACTACACCTTGTCTCCACTCCCTTAACTGACTGCCTGTGGCTGCCTGAATCCATTTCAAGACACAAGTATACTGGCCTACTGTTCTCTGAATGGATCGGGTCCTTCTTAAATCCAGCACGTTAGCACATTCATTTCCCTCTGCATCAGCCAATTATCTCGCTAACTGCAAGAGGGACCCTGTAGCCTTTAAGAAAAACACGCCTGTTACACCGTCTTGACCCCAAAATGGTGGAGTCACTGAGAGTGTCGCGTCTTAGACTGTAAACCCACCTGTTCACCAATAAAAAGAAAAGAAACTGCACCGACAATGGTAACTAACTGAGAGCTAATGTACCTGCAGTCTTCTTGCTTTTCTTAGGTTTTATCCCCAATGTTGAGTGCACTTATTCTAAATTGCTTTATATAACATTGAAATGAAATGTAATATATATGTTGCTCAAGAATCTCGACAAAGTATAGTTGGTGTTCTGACCTCGTCTCGGTCTGTCCCTGACTGCTAAGGGAAATTAATATAATCGAGGTGACATTTGACACCAAGTTTTCGTCCTTCTCATATCCCTCTCTCTTCTATTCACCCTCTTCCTGCTCCATGGCACTGGCCTCAGGCTGCGTTATGTAACTCTGTCAGACCTGAGGGTAATGAAGCTCTCAGCTGGACAGCAGGTTGAATATATTCTGCTGCCCTCATGGCTTTAAACAGCCCTGCCTCACATGTTACTAATTAAATTCTGGCCCTGATATGATCCCTCCTTCGAATAACTTCTCCATCTCTCTGTTTCTTATTTCTGCAGTGATTGTTGCCCTTTATTCAGTTATTTGGAGTCCTACACCCACACATTTGTACAAATCTGTGTGCATGTGGGATGGTTCGAAACATATTTGTCAGAGTTGTTTATGTATTATTTGTACTCCTGCCTGCATAGCTTGCTGCAAGGTGATGTAACAGGTCTGCAGGATAGGATGTCTCTGTTTGGGAGGAGGGCCGTCTGAGTCCTGCTGTCTCCTTTTTAAAAATGTATGGACTATAACGCAAGCAATAAATCGCCTCCTGCGCAATATGACCCGCTGACACTGCGGAGAGGACTGCACCTGTGTGTCTGTGTGAGCCAACATGTCAATGTGTCCTCCTAACAGGGCAAATTATGTGCATACAGTCATTGCAATGCTTGATATGCTAAAGGATGAAAGGCTAATTTACACACAATGTAAGCTGATTCTGAAGTTGTCTTTTTCTCTGTTTCTCCTCAGATCTGTTTCCTGGTGTCAGCTTTTCGTGGCCGGATGTTTTCAGAGGACAGCTGTGCTGCTCTGGCACTCTTCTCTCACTATTTCCACCTCAGTCAGTTCTTTTGGATGCTCATACAGGTAACAGCAGGCTAACCAGCAAGACACAATTTACTTTACATTGCAACTTAAAAACGTACATACAGTACATAGGACATAATGGGGATATGTGAAATAGGAAACCCCTATTGTAAAATGTTACAATATATATTACTCAAATTTCTAGAATTGAAGAAAGTTCATCTAATATCAAGAAACAATAAAAGCTATAAAAAAACACCTAATATTAACATATACCCTAAATCTTATCTAATTTAACCCTAAATGGTCCCAAAACATCTACACATGGGGTTCATATTGGTAACGCATAATAAACAGAGATATACTGTAGGACAGAGGGAACATAATTGTACAAATGAAATGCATTTCAGAGAATATTAAACCTCTGATTAGTGTAATCAAGCTCTGACGTTATTGGGTTAAAAACGGCTGCCTTTAGTTTTTTTCTCAGACGGACAAAGATAAAGATATTTATAAGGTGTCATCGATCTGATTCCATACCTGTGGACGTCTCCAAACCATACTATAGCTGGTACATTTAAGTTTTTACATAAGATGCTTTTGCATGGTATCATATGTCAGGTGATATGGTCAGGTGACATATTCCTAGGTTACCCATTTTTGCTGTAATTGTTCCCATTCAGCTAGATATAGATGACACACTATTTTCCTCATTTTAGCAGCGATATGTTCCCTGTTTCTATTATGTCTCTCCAGTCGGCAAGCTTTACTAGGCCTTCAACCAGACAAAGGAGCAAAGTGTTGAGCAGAAACTCAAGAGGGTCAAGAAAGTCAGTCTGTCATTAAAGGATACAGCATATGAACCTCATAGCATATTATTCTACTGTGCACTTGAATATGTTTCAGTTTTCCTCCCAAATTGTATTCTTCACTGGCGTTATTTGTAGTCCTTGTTGTGTTCATTTAAATATCACTAATTGAAGTGCACGTGTAAGTGAAGTCTCACCCCTTACTCCTGCTCATTGTCCTCATGACTTGGCATAGACTGTGTTCCCATTCTTTGAAGAAGCATGTGTTTTTTACATAATAACTAGTGAAACTTCATTCCTCCACCATCTAGGCTCAGACAGGTTTTGAGTCAGGGGGTGAGTCGAGGTACAGACTGCTGCATGACATGATCTTTGACCCTAGACTGCTACTACTTAGTAACACCTCCCCCTCGCAGCTCCTAAACCCCCTGTTTTTTTACCATCTGCCCCCTATTTCTTTAGTTTGTGACATAACGGCGAAGAACAAAGGCAGGCGGGCAAAGTCCAGCTTAACATGAACAAGTTATTAGTGCCGTGGTTTATGTGATCAGAGACTGACTTCAAAACATTTGCCACGGATCATTAAACTATTGCTTCAACAACAAATTCCACCCCTATTTTCTATTTGTTGTTTTATATACATCCCACAAAGAGTGAATCTCGTCAAAGCCAAAACTTTAGAAAAACTAAACATGATTTTGTACACAGGAATGCGGAGTGGTAAAACAAATTAATTTACTAAATATAATTATTTTTCTTTAGTTTATTTGATTAGGATTTAAAACGCTTAAAAAAATATCACCTCGTTAAAAACAGATTCAAAGTGGCCTTATTATGCTTATTTTCATTTTATTTTTCTCATACTGCCTGTGCTGCAGCACCTCTTTTCACCCTCTGTCTGAAACCAGGGCCCAGTCTGCTCTGATTGGTTAGCTGGCCGGCTCTGTTGTGATTGGTCAACCGCTTCAAGACGTCCCAAACCTTAGCCTATCACGTACAATGTGTTGGAGCGCTAGCCAATAGAAGCATGAGTGTTACATAGTGATGTCACTATGTTACAGAAGTAAAAAAGGATTCCAATTGAGGCGTTTTAGGCAGGGGGGGTTTGTGTGTGAGAGAATCTCCCTCTCTCCCATGTTAGCCTTTGCAGACCATATACATGCACAACAACCTGTATAAGACACAACAGGAAAGGGAGAACTCAAACAAGTATAAAACAGCCCCTTTAATAGAGGTTGGACCACCATGAAATGCTGCCTAAGGAAGAGTGAGAAATGTTAAATATGATCTGCTGACCTTAACTAGGCTGCAACTTTTCTTATATTTGATTGCCTTTTTTATATTATCAACGTGTGACTTACATATCCTTGTACAACTGACTGCACAACAGCTTCCCTTCACTGGGTGTCGGCTGAACATGTTGTGAAAACTGTAAGGTAAACTCACAGCCAAATAAATAGTCTAATCCATTGTCGTCATAACTCAAAATCCCTTAAAACTGTTGTTCCGTGTCCAACAATAAATCCGATAACAAGAGTGTATACGAGTCATTTAGGCTGGGTTTAAGTGGGTTCTACCACATTAACAAAGGACACGCAATTCACCAGTAATTGTATTTAATGTACCAGACCAGTGTACAGAGGAGAGCTGTCCCCAATTAAACTCTCCCCCTCTTGCGTAAGTCACTGTGTTTTGTTGCATCAACCCTCATTCTTAGCCGATGTGTGACGTTTGTAAGGGAACATAATCATTGTTTATGTAGTGGATATAATCTCCCCCGGCACATACTTTACTATAGGTCGATCTATCTGATTGTTTACCAGACGACCTGTGAGATATCTTAAGGGATTAACCCTCAGACCAAAGGCTTTCATGTGGCTTTTGAAGTGTTCGAATTTGAGTGACGAGAATTGGTCGTGAGATGAAAGATTTTGGCGTAAAAAGCAAGTTTGGAAACACATGGTTGTAGTTAAAAGAGCTGATTCAATCTAGTGGAGAAAACATAAACTGTGACTCACCCCAGAAGGGGTTCAAACAGGGAGAAAAGGTTCTGCTTTCGGGAAAGATTTTTAGATTTGTATTCATACACTTACTCAATGACTTGTAACTTTCTCATAAATTGCCAAAAACCTCCAAGGCCATTTCTTAAAGGGGCCCTAGTATGCTCATGTTCCGGTTCATATTTGTGTTTTCTGCTTGTACTGTGACATTTTTACATGATTTAATGTTCAAAAAGTAAGTAAAAGGAACTCCCTCTGGAGGGTCCTTTGGGATTTTAGCTTTTGCAGACCATTGACATGCACAAAAAACCTGTACAGTATAACACACTACTGGAAAGGTAAACCCCCCAAAAAACACATTAGGGCCCCTTTAATTCTTAGCAACTATTGGAATTGGCTTCAAGGTGAGCCTGAAACATGCACAGACTCTTTTTCCTATGGTACATTTGGAGAAACCAGTCATATAGTATTTATATGTCGAGTGTTTGTTGATTGTTATGTACTTGCCCAGGGACTCCAGATGAACATTTGCCAATAAGTGAATCTATGATAAAGCATCTCTTTAACAACAACAAAAACGACATTAACTGACAATGAAAATGTTGCTGCCTCTCTGGCTTTGGTTGATGTGTGACTTTAAGACATTTCTGTCCTCATCAACGTCTCAGTATCGACCCCACTGATGCCTCGCAGGTCATTTATCCCCCTCTATCAGGTAGCTGCTTTCAGCTAAGTAGCTGATATGAGTTGGCGCCAGCAACCCATCTCAGACCACGAAGAAGACTTTAAATCAATAACTGCAGTGTGTGTGTGTGTGTGTGTGTGTGTGTGTGTGTGTGTGTGTGTGTGTGTGTGTGTGTGTGTGTGTGTGTGTGTGTGTGTGTGTGTGTGAGTTGCTATGCATGCAATAGTTGGACAGAGGAATATGTGCTGGCAAAATGCCAAAAAAACGCCAATAACTGAATCACTATCCAGACCAGCTTTTCCTGAACTGCAGAGGCAGCTTATTGAGAGACTGCATCATATTACATAACAACACTGTAGTGAAAGACCTGCTAAAGTCTGAAAGCACATCGATCCGTAGGCCAGTCATTTAGATTTGTAACACATTGCTTTATTATTTAGTAGGTGAGGGGTTCAAAGGCAACAGCTGAGTTACCCATAATCCATTAGCTGTACCTATAGGGAGAGTCAGTTCTTGAGTCGGACCGACATCACACTTCTGTCTCAAAACAATCAAGCTGTTACACAACTGAAGTGTATGTAGCTGCATTATGAGCCTGAGTGTGTGTATTCTTGTGTTGTGTGCACTCACATACATGTTTCTTTTATCAGCCGTTATACAACATGGTTATGTATCAGAGACAGAAGTTATCAGAAAGGGGGGGGGGTCAGCGTCCCTTAACCTCATTACATAGTTGCATCACAGCGTAGCAGACAGATGGAAAGTCACTCACATCATCAGCTGTTCATTAGCTGTTGCATAAATGTGTATTACTCTGAACAAAAGAAGGAATTGTTTAGAAGATATAGCCTATGTTTTCCCTATATAAATTCAAGTTGGATCTCTATATAAGGATTTTCATGAGGCTAGCTGCAGTAAAGGACACCAATACTCCACAGATCAATAATAGAGAGCTACTTTGTTTTTCCCCTTGAGCCTAACTTGAAAATCTTTGCCCTTTACACTGCAGCCTTTTGACATTTTCTGAGGATATGTAATTGTCTGCTGACACAGTAATAAGACATTGTGTTGCAACCAACAGGTGTTCAGATAAGCTGCTTATGTAACAATGCGGGGCTCAGTGCATCACATGGATGAGGCCATCAAAGCCTGCTAGATTACCAAGCAAATATAGCTATTGTGGGTGTAATAACACTGTGGATATGTGTGTGTCTTTCTCACAATAAAGACCAAATGTCCTCTCGTGATTACTGAGAAATATTATCCCATCATAAAAATGTTAAAAATTCTACACTCAGAGTGACTCCCTCACACAGGCATTTTGGTTTTGATATAGAGTTATAAAAGACTTAAGAAAAAAAGATTTAAAGATTGAAAGAGATTGTATAATAGATTTTTCTCCAACGCTCTGCCCCTTTCAAAATACTGGGAAAATTAGATAACCGGCTAAATTGTTTTTGCTTTGTTGCCAATTTACAAAAAAACTTTAAAAAAGAAACGTCTACACCTCAAAAAAGGGAAAACAAATTCAACAATTACTTAATGTCATCATGGACACATATTTGTTACAGTATGTAGAGTAAAATATGCACTTATCTGTAGATGGAGCATTTCCTATTGTTTTCATCCTTTTCTTTGTTCTTTAATATTATTTTTACCTTTTTTGGAAGAAATTAATTTAAGTACCGTAATATCTTGAAATATTGATCGTAGTGTATTTAACCCTCCTATTGTCTTTGTTTCCCCCCCCTTACTTTGGTGTTCGCGGTCAAATTTGACCGGTCCTGTTTTAAATGCTATTACATTAACACAAAAACCATTAACCATCACCAAATGTCCTTTAACACCCTTTCAAACTGTACATATTGTATCAGACTACTGGTATACATAAAAAACTGCAGTAAATATACAAAGAATAGACACTGGACATGTATTGCATGTGCCAGGTGTGACTGATCCATGTGGGGGGATGGGCACATAAGGGGGGGGACACACATCTTGAGTGTGCGTGTGTTTTATCTGATCCGGATGGTTACTAATTCCTTTTCTTTATGGCGGTCATTTTTGACCGGGAACACCATGGGTGTTACAAAGTTGACTAAATCATCCAAAATACAATGAAAGTGGTGATCAGCCATTGTATATGTTCAAATGTCTACTGTGAAGGATATCATAAAGCCTTAACGCAATCGAATGTAAAACAAAAAAGTTATGACCATAGCTCAGACTATGACTATAACCAAAGTTATTATTGATGAAAGTAGTAAATCGGTCAGATTTGACCCGAAGACAACAGGAGGGTTAAATCCATACAAAATGAAATTATACAACAAAATTAAAGATACATATGATATTTATATGAGTTTGTTGTTTGTGTTGGCACAATTAGCTTTTCATTAGCAACCCCCTATTTCAAGTGTTCTTTTAGTCTTTATTATTTACCTACCTTGTTTTATTTCTTTTATAGGTCTTAATCCTTTTATTTGTATTTCTGTTGTACCTATATGTTCACTTTGTTTTATGGGGTTTTATATTTTATTGCTGCATCGACTCAGTTGTCTTGTGTCTTATCTGTCAGAGAGAAACCATTATTTATTTTATTTTATTTGATATTTATTATCATACATTTTACCTCCTTGTGTCTATTAACCTGATAAAATGTTATATTTTGCTGCATGTACCTTTTAAAGTTCTTAACAAATAATCTCAGTGCTGCGTTTGACACTGTTGAACACAACATACATGTATTACTAGACCGACTAGAAAACTGGGTGGGACTTTCGGCAACAGTTCTAAATTGGTTTGAATCCTACTTCAAGGACAGAAAAAACTTTGTTTCTATAGGTAAATACACATCTGAGTTGACAAATATGACATGTGGGGTACCTCAAGGCTCCATCTTGGGGCCTCTTCTCTTTAACGTCTACATGCTACCACTGGCTCAGATAATGAAAAACAACAAAATAAGTTACCATAGCTATGCGGATTAAATACAAATGTACATAACCATTTCACCAGGAGACTATTCTCCTGTTAAAACACTGAGTAAGTGCCTTGAACAAATCAATGGCTGGATGTGTCAGAACTTTCTCCAATTAAACAAAGACAAAACTGAGGTAATGGTTTTTGGAGCAAGGGGCAGAACGTATACAAGTTAGCGCTGATATTCAGTCTGCAATGTTCAAAACAACAGATAAAGCCAGAAATCTCGGTGTAGTCATGGAGTCTGACCTGAGCTTCAACAGTCACATTAAAACAGTTACTAAATCAGCCTACTATCACCTAAAGAACATATCAAGGATTAAAAGACTGATGTCACAGCAGGATTTGGAAAAACTTTTCCATGCTTTTATCTTCAGTAGACTCAACTACTGCAATGGTGTCTTCACAGGTCTCATTAAAAAATCGATTAGTAAGCTGCAGCTGATTCAGAACGCTGCTGCTCGAGTCCTCACTAACACTAAGAAAGTGGATCACATCACTCCTGTTCTGAAGTCTTTACACTGGCTTCCTGTGTGTCAAAGAATAGATTTCAAAATACTGCTGCTGTTTATAAAGCACTGAATGGTTTAGGCCCAAAATACATTTCTGACCTCCTGCTAAATTATGAACCATCCAGATCTCTCAGGTCTTCAGGGACTGGTCAGCTTTCTGTCCCCAGAGTCAGAACTAAACATGGAAAAGCAGCGTACAAACTGCCCAAATATCTGGAACAAACTCCCAGAAACCTGCAGGTCCGCTGCAACTCTGACTACTTTTAAATCCAAGCGGAAGACTTTTCTTTTTGCTGCTGCTTTTAATTGAACTATTCATATCTTAAACTGCACTGTAACTTTTATCCATTTATTTTTTCTTTTAATGTTTATTTTATTAGCTTTTCTTTTTAATGACTGATTTTAAATGCCATTTTCTTAATGTCTTTCATTTTTTGTAAAGCACTTTGAATTACCTTGTGTTGAAAGGTGCTATATAAATAAACTTACCTTGCCTTGAGGGGAATTTCTTGTTGTTTATTTTAAACTTATGATGTGTCATTTTGTAAAGCACTTTGAGCTGCATGTGTTGTATGAAAAGTGCTATATAAATAAACCTGTATTATTATTATTATTATATCTGCTTCACCGCTCACACTCATGTTGTTTTCTTAAACTGTGCACCCAGGCGGTGAACTTCTGGCAGGTGCTGGTGATGAACGACGAGCACACGGAGCGCAGACACCTGCTCTACTTCCTGTTGGGCTGGGGACTTCCTGCCATGGTCATCGTCGTCCTGGTGATCGTCCTGCTCGGCGGCTTCGGATGGACGATTCACAGCGTGTACGGACTGGTGCAAGGAGACGTGTGAGTGGACATTGCAAAACACACACACACACACGTGTTCTTTAGACCTGACGTAATCTGTTTTCATAAGAGGAGATGTTTTTAAAGCTCCCCTGAATCAATCTCAGTGACTTCACTTTCTTTTTTAGGGTTTGGTAAATTCCACTTCAGGCTAGAGAAGAGCAAACAAAAAACACCTGATCGTGTGACATCATGTGAGGAGGCAGCTCAGCCAATCAAACGCATCTCCCCACATAGAAACTTGATTCTTAGCCCTAAGGGCTGGAGGCTTTCCCACAGCAGGGAGAAACTTGAAATAACCCATATAATGTTAGGCTTTGTGTGTGAGCTAAAAATAACCGTTTGCCATCCATGTTTAGAACCTGATTCCTTAAACACAACAGGTGAGATCACTTTTTAAAAACATGCACAATGTCAGGTGTGTCTGCGCCTAAGTGTGTGTGTGTGCAGTAAATGCCAAAGTAAACTCTAGCAGCGTAATTGCTTCAGGGGTCGTCTTGTGTGTGATCAAGCTTGCGTGACCAGCGAAGTCAAATACTGAAATCACATCTAAAAATACGAGGTTTTAGGTGTGGCTGTTATCCTTGGGATCGTGTGTGTGTGCGTGTTTCCTGTGGGTGGGTGTGTGTGAGACAGTGAGCGTATACATGAGAGATTGAAGGATACAGAGGGGTATTCAGTTCCCCTGGAAGTGTACCTTCCTCTTTCAGGGAATGAGGCAGCCCTTCAATCCCCTCCCTCTCTCCTTCCCTCTTTCTCTCCTAATGTGTGTGAACCGGTAGCCGTCAACAACTCAATTTATCTCAGTTTCACTCTGCCTGGTGCCAAGCCCAGGCCTTTCAAAAGCAAGCTTGTTGTCCCATATTGTATGTATTTGTGTCATATATATTATAACAACGGTTGCTGTTGTTGTTGTTAACCGTCAATCAATCAATTTGTATTCAATCCAATATCACAAATTACACCTTTTGTCTAGGGGGGCTCTACAGTTTGTTCACCCTCTATCCTTAGAAAAAGAAAAAACTCCCAAAGAAACCCAACAATTAATGGAGAAAAAAAATTGAAAAACACCTCAGGACTGACAGTTATGCGATAGATGGTGTGTGTGAAGACGAACAAAGAGAATAGTTGTAAGAGGTAGACAGTCCAATTGACAAAATATATAATTTGTAAGAATATAAAGAAGACGGATCCAGGAGGATGGAAAGAATCTGCCTCAATAAGAGACATTGTTCATGTTTTATGATTAAGATATCAAATGTGTAATGATTACCTCCTGCAAAGTCAATACCTTTTCTGATTCCACACTTGAGCCTTGAATTTATTCATTAGAATTTCTCCCTGAATGTTGTCCTCTCTCACTCATTACTCATTACCGATGCACCGTTTATGAGCCGAAGAGATCGTAAAAATGTCTTCAAAGATGAATCACCTGATTAGTTTTTGCCAGTGCAGTAAATCTTATAACCATGAGTTGAAAAAACGATGTATATTTAACAAGTTGAGTCTAACATGAGAAGCTATGTTACCTGGACAGGCTGATTTGCACAAGTAATTGAAGTAGTTAGTGTTTTATAGTCTTACCCGTGGAAATGTAAATATAGAACTTGAATGTCCTGCCATTACATTACGCGAGACAAAGGCTACCACAGGAGCATGTATGTCTCTTTTAATATAGACTTGATTTACACCTTTATATTAGGTGTTGACAAAGACACTACGCAGTGCCATAGAAGAGTCAGTCCCTACAGTACATCTATTAAAATCCACAATAAAAGGCCTCACTCTATTTACTTTTCTCTTGCCATACTATAAAGTCGGTGAAATGGGCCCCTGGGTAATGTTGTTTTTATTGACCGCGGGAATCTTTGAGATTTCCCTTTCTTGTGAGACTACAGTAGGATCTCATGCTGTCACAAGGCCACAGCAGCACACACATCCATATTCCAGTCCACACTCTCATAGTCTGACTGTATTCCTGGCAGAGGTTTGTCTTTCCTCCCATTATGTTATGGCTATAGCATATCTCCAATAACTCCTATGTGATTCCTGAAGTCTGCCGGGAGGTCCAATCTGCTTTCCAGGCTCCCACTAAACCCTGCCCCGAGCTTGTTTTGTCGGGACAGAGAGGATACCATATCTCATACCAATAGATAAATAACTAATAGTAATGAAACCATAGTTCAAGGTTCAAGGCTTTTATGAGTCTTACGTACATAGCTGCAGTGTAGTTATGTGGAGGAAAATCTTAGGTCACAGGCGCCTCCAACAGAGCAACACAATACAACTGAAAAAATAGTGCAATAAGAGTCTATATACAAGTGATTGGAATATGATATATTAGATACATAATTTGAAAGTTGCAGCCAGATGAATGTTATGGATGTTGTTTCAAAAGTTCAGGTGTTTAATAGATGGCTTTTAAAAATAATTCCACAATTTCAAGATATCCTTTTCACGATATCTTTGAACTCACATAACCACTCCATATGTATCTCCCTGTCAAAGAAGGAGACCCATGTATAGTGTTGTTTGTTCTTTGAAATGTTCTTTCTTCCTTTAAATAGAAAAAAAACCTTTTAAGCGTCTTTGGCCTTAGATATTATCCCGCTGTAGCTGCAGGGTGGTGACCTGGTGCCTCTGAAGTTTTAAAGAACATCCGTATTTTGCTGTTTTAGGCAAAAGCTGCTGTTAAGCAATAATGCTGGGGTCTTAGGCCGGCTCAGAGGCCAGATCCTGTTTGTGAAACTTTGAAAAAAAACAAAGTCTTTAACTTGATTAGGTAAAGAGCAATACAGGCATGTAATATGTTTACAATTTCCAGAGCTTACCTTGAGAATGACGTTTCTTTACTCCCTCACTCCCCACCTTTTTTTCTTTCTGGTTATTTCCCACAGGTGGGAAGTAGTGGAGTACAAATACTTTGTTACTGTACTTAAGTACATTTTTCTGGTATCAGTAATTTACTCCGCTCCTATATTTTTCTGACGACTTTTTACCTTTACTTCTTACATTTTCCAAACAGGCTATTTACTTTAATTTGAATGTGTGGCGTGATCATTGCGTGCCTATTGATTTGAACACGATCCGTGTATCCATCATTTCCTGGTCTTCTCTAAAGAAGAGGGACCAATGGGAACGTTGTCATGTTGCCGTTGTTCAGCATGGAAACATTCATTAGCGAACAATGACATTATTGTTCTATTAATATAAAGGGAGGTCAGGTACTCTTTAAAACAGTTGCTAGTTATGGGTACTTTTTACTGAAGTACATTTCTAAGCCTCTTTACTTTTACTTGAGTGAAGAAGTTTAGTCTGTACTTCTAATTTAGAGTGTATGGCCGGCGACACGCGGCCACATGACTCGCGAACCCTAGAAGTACACACCCGTTATACTGCGGACGTAGTCTATTTACGAAGAGTAAGTAAAGACTGGTATTGAGATACTCCCAGTAGAAAAGACGTTGAGTGATTAGAAATGTATTTATGGTCAGACTGCCAACGCAAATGCGTGTGTAGTGTGACGTGGACGTTACCAGCGTAAGTCCCGAAATTTCTCCCTGTATAATACGAGTAAAAGTCCAAGTATAATACATAAAACTTTTCCCGATAAAATAGAGAAGAGTATGACGGACACCAATCGACCGACGCAGCTAACCGAGTTCGACGGAATGCTCTACCGGGCGGGGACGTGTGTAGTTCCATTTTGCTCAACCTCGCGATCGGTTATCTTCGACTAACAATTGCATTACTACGTGAAGTAACAAATGACTTCATTTGTTTCCTCTAGGTTACCGTCCGGGCTAGAAGTCCGTCCCGCCGCCATCACACACCCTACTCGTGTGAGTATACCTCGCCATTGTGACCCTAAAAGTTTGGAATCGACCCTTAAAAGATTAGAATCGACCCTAAATTTGGGGAATCGTCCCTGGGTAAATGTATGGTTCTTTGCATGTATTGGTTGATGTCCTTTCCCTTTGGTGGTGTGTCGTATTATATCCTGGGAAATTTTACTGGAGAATTACATTACAAAATATTTCAAAACCTCAACGACATATCTCACAAATTTAGATAAAAGTTGTATAAAGGTGCCGACCTTACGCAGGCTGAACAGTCGTTGGAGAAGTAAATCTTTCGTCGTCATAAACAAACGAGGACATAGTATTATTTAGGGGAATCCATGTGTGTCGTCTGTCTGTGTCTCGGACATTCGACTCGTTTTATGGCGAATTTGGAAATCCGGGTTTTAGTCGTGGTTTTTCCACCATACAGCAGACCAAAGTTACTCCCGCAGGACCGTCGACAACGAACAAAAAGTCCACACACAAGTACACGTGTCTCTAAGCACCACTGTTGAACTCTTTACAATAAAACTCAGGAATAGAAAAAAATATGTTGTCTAAGACCTGAGATACACAAACACTTGCGTGTTCTAACAATGGACACGACAACAAGCAGGCCGCATTTACAGGCAGCACCGGAAGGTGACGCCCACTGGACCATCTGCACCTACTTTTGGTGTCACTGTCGTTGGTCTGTCTACTCCTGCGCGGTGGTGGTGGCGGGCACGTATCTCGACGGTATCTACAAACCGCTATTTCGTGGATCCTCTCCCCCTTTGTGATTTCACACTCAGATACACCTGTCTCTCCCGTTTTCATTTGTGTAGGAAATGAGCTCATCTTTAATGTCTATGTGTACAATTTTTTATGATGA